TACTGCTTGCTATTGATTACTGCTCAGAATGCTAGTATTGGTGATAGCCAATGATTGGTTTATTCCTTGCACTTTTTGGAAAAAAGATGTTCTGTACATAAATAATTTTTGCAGTCAGATTCAGCATACTTTTCCCTTTTGGAGGATATGGAAACGAAGAATGAAGCTCTCATCTCCTTTACGCTGATAATGCTTTCCTATGAATAGCCTAGGGAGTGCAGGTGAACCTAACCCAAGCACCGCTGGGTGTTGTGTGTGTGGTTACTACTCTCAGGAAGGGGCTCTGGGGTGCTCAGTGTGCTTACCCTGCTTGGGGGGGTGGGGGTGGGGGCTCATGAATTGCACCGAAGGGAATCTGGTGGATTTTTTTTTTTCCCATCTCCTGCCTTTCTCTAAATAGTCACAGCCTTGGAGCTTTTAGTCAGTATGGGTTTATCAGCATCTCTGATTCTGCTTATTCATGTCAATAAATAGGAGACACTGAAAGACATACTTGAGTAGGTTAATTTTTTTAATGGTTTGTATCTACCTCATCAAATTGTTAGGAGAAGCAAATGAGATAATACAGATAAGTTGCTTGGCACAGTGTTTGACCCATAGAAGATCCTAGTAAATTGGGGTTATTTTTAACGGTTGGCTTTTCAGGCACAAAAGAAGTAGATTTTTTTAAAGCAGCCGTTTTAAATACAATTCCCAGGGGATACTATTCACCCGTTTAAAGTGTGTACCTCAGTGGCCTTTCAGGTATTCACAGATTTGTATGTGCCATCACAGTCATTCTTAGAACATATTTGTTACCACAAAGAGAAGCCCCACCCCTCCCACTCTTCTCCCATCCTGCCTCCTACCCACGGACAGCCACTCATTGAGCTTCCGTTCATTTAGTTTGGTTTATTTTGAACGGGAACTGTAGACTCTGTTCTTGGGTGGCTCCATCATGTTTGCAGTGGCCAGCATGTTGTAGCATGTGTCACTGCTTCCTCTTTTTCTGTTGTGCTGTGTGATCCTGTATCTGGGTGAGTTGCATCTGAGCCAGTCATCATTTGGTAGGCACTTGTGCTGTCTCCTTCATGGTGGTTGTGAGGAATGCTGCTGTGAATACCTCATGTGGAGATCCAGTAGGTTCTCATTTTTCTAGGCATATGGCTAGGAATGGAACTGCTGAGTACCTGTCTCAGAGTTGCTGTAGTAAAATACTGACTGAGCCACTTCATAAACATGAGAAATGCCTGGACGCTGTGAAATCCAAGATTAAGGTGGATTTGGTGTTTGGTTCATTGGCAGCATTATTTGGATCAACTTAGGGATTCAAATTTCAACACATGAAGAGTGAGGGGTGCATACATTCAGACCACAGCACTGGCTAATGTGGTCACTGCTACTAAACATGGGAGCAATTATCCAAATGTTTTCCAGAGTGGCTGGACCATGTTGTATTTCCACCAATAGTGCACTGGGGACTCCAGTTGCTCCCCGTGATCAGTAACACTTATCATTTGTGTGTCTGATGCCAGGCACTCCAGTGGGCATGAGGGCAATCTCATTGTGGCTTTGATTTATACCTGACAGGATTTTGTGCTTTTGGGGGGAAAAAATCACCTTTGCCTTCTCTTGCCTGACTTTTGGCCTTGACTCCTATGGGCTGTCAGGAAGCTGTGTTAGTCACGCTAATGAAGTAGCATGCCACTCTCCTGAGAAAGCCTCCTCCAGTTGGCCCTCCACCTCCATGATGCATGCCCTTCTGGTGCCTTTAAAGTCCTGCACTATTTGCTTTGGGCCTTGGAGATGGAAGCTCTACTTATTTTTTCAAGCATAATTTTCATCTGTATATTTGAAAGAGAGAGCCAGACAGAAGCATCTCTCATCTGCTGGTTTATTCTCCAAAGAGACAGGCTAAATGCAGTAGCCAGGAACTTCATCTGGGTCTACAACATGTAGGGACCCAAGCAGGCATTAGCAGGTGCATTAGGAGGAATCTTGGTCAGAAGCAGAGATGCCAAGACTTGAGCTAGCACTATGATATGGGATGCAGGCATCTGCAGGAGTGGTTTAGCCTGGTCTGCCACAATGTATACCGCTGAGGCTTTGAGGTCATGACACATGGTCAGGAGAATAAGATGAACCAAACTGATAGAAAGGATGTGAAAGGACAGGATCTGAGTTTATGAATGGATGTGAAATATCTTGACCAAATCTTGTGAGAATCTGTTAAGGATCAAATGCTTGAGTCTCTCCTAGTTGCACATGGCAGAAACCTAACTTGAGTATGCTAGTAATAGGAGATAGGCACAAAGGGGAGGTAATTGAATTTGGTGTGCCTCTGATGGCATTAATAACTTGAGAGGAGGAGGAAGAGATGCTATAATGTAAGCCCTCAGCTATATGGGCATATAGTGAGAAGGCAGGCATGTGCAAGCCAGGGAGGGGCCCTCCCCACATGCTGATCAGGCAGGCTCCTCATCCCACCTTTGAACCTCCAATGCTGTGAGAAGGGGAGTCTTTGTTGAAAGCCCTCAGGGGTAGTCTGTTTCAGCAGCCTGAGCTAAGGCAATGTCCATTTGGTTTCTTCCCCTGCAGGGAGAGCCACCTAGGAATCCTAGGAAAGCATCAGAGATTAGGACATTTTATTTAGTGCCAGTGACCTCATAGCCTAATGACCTCAATCTGTATGTTAGAAGTGTAGCAGGGGTAGCGTGTATCTTAAGAGACCAGGACACTGGTTGGGGTTGCTTCTCCTTGGAGTCACAAACTTGGGGGTGAACAGCCATTAACCTGCCTTTATGACTGCTCTTTTCTTATTTCTCCAGCTCACCAACCTTTTTGTGTTTTTAAATTTTTTCTTAAATTATCTTTTGATACTCACACCATGTGCTAACATTAAGTCTTTACTTACTTATTTACCTATTAGTTTAAATAGTTATTTTATTTGAGAGAGTTATAGAGAGGGAGAGAGACAATCTTCCACCTGCTCATTCACTTCCTAGGTGATTGCAATGGCCAGGGCTGGGTAAGGTTGAACCAGGGGCTTCATCTGTTTGTCTCACATCAGGGCAGGAGCCTAAACACTTGGGCAATCTTCCACTGCTTTCCCAGGCCAGGAGCAGAGAGCTACATCAGAAGTGGAGCAGCAAGTCCTACACAATAGCCTAGCAGCTCAAGTCCTCAGCTTGCATCTGCTGGGATCCCATATGAGTGTCATTTCGTGTCCTGACCGTGCTGCTTTCTATCTAGCTCCCTGCTTGTGGCCTGGAAAGGCAGTAGAGGACAGTCCAAGAACTTGGGACCCTGCACACCATATGGGAGACCTGGAATAAACTCCTGGCTCCTGGCTTTGGATCAGCTCAGCTCCAGCTGTTGTGACCACTTGGGGAGTGAACCAGCAGACTAAAGATCTGTTCTCTTGTATATCTGCCATTCCAATGGAAATACATCTAAAAAGAAAGAAAAAATGAAAGAAAAGAATGGAGCAGCCAGAACACAAACCAGCACCTATGTGAGATGCTTGCATCACATGCCACAACATGGTACACACCCCTTCCCCTTTCCAGCCAACCTTTTTTGGGATTCTGTGTTTGAGTGCCTGTAGGTCTTTTGCATAGAGCTGTTGCTTCTGTAGCTTGTCAGTAGACCATGGTCTGGTAGTTGAGGGGTTTCTCAGTAGTCCCTTTTCTGAATGAGAAGGGTTTTTAATTTTTTTCTTTAAAATTTTTATTTTATATGATGTTAACATAGTTAATCAGGGTGGGATGAATCAAGGGTTAGGAAAAAGTGGGTGTGATCATTGTTTTCAAATTTTCTATTTCTTCTTCCTGTTTCTTGGGGGTGAGATGATGAGGGGAGAAGCCATACCTAGCCTCCCAACTGCCCCAGTACCAAGGGATGGGCAATGGCTGCCTGGTATCAACCCAGGGTCCTCATGTGGCATACTCTCTAAGAGTTCTAGCTGGGTGGTTTCAATAGTTTTGAAATGTGGTTTATCTCCCTGATCCAAGGATGAGGAAACCCTTTCAATTTCCATTGGCTGACATAGTTGACTTTATAGTCTCCATTTGCTCAGATACTTGCTGTCATTGTTTGGCTAGGTAGTTATCCAATTTGTTCTGCTCTCCTTTCTCTGGCATGGTATAGATGTCCTCTGCAAACCTCAATGGGCTGCCATATTCTCCATGTGGGTCTGGGCGAGCTGTCCACTATTCTCTCACTGAGGAGGACCAGTTATCCCAGGTGGGCCAAGGAACCAAGCCAATTGACCCGGGCCCCACTGGAACCCTTGCCCCCAGGGCTCATGGATCCAGCATCCACTGTGCTGGCAGGCCAAGGGCCTGGGGCCCACTGGATCTCCTGCCCTGGGGCTCATGGACCCAGCACCCACTTCCCCGATTGGCATGGCTCATCTCACCTTAGTATCCAACCCCAGGTGATACAACCTGGCTTGGTCCAGCCTGCACCCAGTTCCAGCTCATACTAGTGGGTGTTGCAGCCTAGCCAAGTCCAGCCAGTCCTGTCATGGCCCTGATGTGAACTGGCTGTTGTTGTGGCCCAGTCTAGCCCCTCTTGCTCCCTGTCCTGGTTCTCAGATCTGCTAGTGAATGTTATGAACTTGCCTAGCCTAGACCACGCCCAGATCTGACCCACATGTATGCTGGAAGGTACTGCAACCTGGCCTCATCGGGGCTGCTCCTTGCCTTGGTTCTTGTGCTCATCTGCAAGATCTGCATTGTGAAAAAGGAGTTTCCCAAGCTCCTCTATCAGGTCTTCTCCCAATGGCAGATGTGTCATTGGCCCAGGTTGACTTTGTCCACCTCTTGTCCTGGCAGCAACAATGTCCTTGCCCAACCAGCTCGTACCCATTCCTGTTCTCACCTGGTCCACATCCAGACATAGCTCTTACATGGTTCAGTGTGAGCCAAGACCTAGCTCAGTCTGTCCTATACCCATACTTGCTCTCATGTGTACCAGTGGGAACTGGAGTCTAGCCCAGTCTGGCACTCCCCAGACCCAGTCCACTCCCGTGCCAGGGGAGACTGCAGCCATGTCTGTCCCAGCCCACTGCCCCATTCTGACTCTCATGCTCACTAGTGGGAACTCCGACCCAGCTGGAGTGTCCACTTACCTTCCCAACCAGGCCTGCTCCCAGCCATAGCTTTTAGGTGTCCCAGTGGAGATTGTTGTTCCACAGGGATGAGCACGCATACTCTCTCATAAATTCTGCCTTCAGACCGAATTTACTCATGTGTTGCTCAGTGTCATGGCCCAGCTACGCATTACCCATTCTCTGTTCCAGTTCTCACTGGGCACCATGATCCAGCTCTGCCAGGAAGCCCCATCACCCAGCCTCAGTTTGTGCCTGCGAGTGGCATTTGGTGATGGTTGATGTGAGCTACCCCAGCTCAGGCCTCACAGGTGAGCTTGGTCTGGCCCTTAAAGGTCCCTCCCATTCCCTGCTCCAAACAACTCAGTCTCGGCATCCTTGCTTACTTGCTGGAATAGTGACCATGTCCACGGAAGTCCCATGGAAGTCATTCAAGGATAATCCCTCAGGTTCCTACTCACCCCCACCTGTGCCATCCCCCATACACTTTATAGACTCAAACCCACAGGTCCCCAGTGCTTACCACCAGTCAGCTTCAGGGCTTTACTTGACCCAAGATCCCACCAGCCGCATCTAGACACCTGGAGGGATGGAACTCCCAGCCGTGAGCCTAGGCTGCCCTCCATTCTGCCAGCCACAGCTATGCATGGCTGGTGAGGTGGAAGTCCTGGTATGCACACCTAGCATGACCCAAGATCGTGCCAGCCTATGTGATAAGTTTTGATCTGAAAATTCTACTGAGGACAATCTTCATGGCTAATTTTCTTGGTACATTTTGAGTACTGTGCTAAGTATTTCCTTTTTAAAAAAAATGTATTTGAGAGGTAGAAAGAAGGTGAGGCTGGAAGGGAGAAAGGGAGGGAGGAAGGGAGTGAGGGAGAGAGGAAGCGAGAGTCTTCATCTGCTGATAGCTACAGGTCTCCCATGTGAGTACAGGAGCCCAAGCACTTGGGTCACCTTTGGCTGCTTTAGCAGGAGCATTAACAGGGAGTGGCATCAGAAGTGAAACATCCAAGTTTCAAACTGGCACCCATATGGGATGCCAGTGTTGCAGGTGGTGATTTTGCCCTTTATGATGCACTGCTGGCCCCAGATACTAAATGTTTTCTACATTTTTGTCTCCTTAATCCTCAGAACAATCCTATGAAATACAGGGGTTTTTTTTTTTTGGCTTTTTTTTTTTCTGCTTTAATGGTGCAGGCGGGGAAATGAAACCTTGCAGGAGACCCACATGGCTTTTCCAGAGCTGAGGGACTGGGGATGATGCTGGAAGAGCCACGATTTGCATCACAATGCACTGGGCCCTTAAACTTGCAATGGTCTTCATTTCTAGACAGTTGTGTGTTTACATGCTGCTCATGTGTGATGCCTAGAGATGCTGTGTGCTCCTGACAGATGTGATTGTGAGTTGGGAGTGAGTACCCATGCTCCTCCCCTACTTGTTTGAGTCCCAAGGGGAGCCTGCAGGGGTTGGTAGGCAGCATCTCTTTTATTCCCTGCAGCCTAGAGAGAAGGTGTTCACCCCACTTGAGAGTCCTCCCTCCCCCAACTCCCATTGTGGTCTGTGTCTGGCTGTGTAATGTAACCACCCTTCCTTGCCATTGCTTCTTGGGGTTAAGGTGGAAGCTGTTTCCCTGCCTTGGGGAAGGTATCTCGGGGAAAAACCTGGAAAGAGAACATGTTCTGAAGGTTTGAAAGCTTCTCTCTGTATGAAGAGATTTCAAAATTTTGATATGCAACAGAATTTTCATGTTTGCTTTTGTGCAAGAAAAATTTGAAGTCCAGAGATTGGTATTGTGGCGTAGTGAGCTAAACTGGCATCTCCAACACAGGCACCCAGTGGAAGGCCCTGCTGCTCCTTTTCCAATGCAGCTCCCTGCTGATGGCTTGGAGGAAAACAGGAAGATGGGCCAGGAACCTGGGCCTCTGCCACCCATGTGCAAGACCCGGATGAAATTCCTGGCTTCCGTTTATCCCAAACCCAGCTAATGTGGCCATTTGGAGTATGAGCCAGTGATGGAAGTTCTAGTCTCTCCCAATGCCCCTCTCTCTGTAACTCTGCTTTTTACATAAATAAAACAAATCTTTTTTTAATAAATAGAAAATTTTGAAGCCCATGCCTATGAAGAGTGTTCAGCAAATTCATGAAAAAGTATGTGCTGTGCAGTGATTTAAAAAATTGTCAGCAAAATGGTTATGTTTTTAATTTCCTTTACGTTTTTAAAAAGAACATATTTTTATTGCCATGTACTTTTTAAAAAGAGTTTTATTTATTTTTATTGCAAAGTCAGATTTACAGAGAGGAAAGGGATAAAGAGCTTCTGTCTGCTGGGTGCAGGGTCCCAAGATTTTGGCCATCCTCCTCTGCTTTCCCAGGCCACAAGCAGGGAGCTGGATGAGAACTAGAGCAGCTGAAGCTTGAACCTGTGCTCACATGGGATCCTGGTGCACATAAAATGAGGACCCCAGACACTAGGCTACTGTGCTGGACCCAAATCATGTACTTTATAAAATACTCTTATATACACCAATGCATACACATAATTTACAATAAAGAAGTATGTAAATTATTTACATACATAGTGATATATATCAATGCAATTAACCCTAAGTGTGCAGTACCATTTGGTGCAGTAGATCTATAGAATGTACTACCCTTGTCCAGGTGAAACTTGATGCCCTTTTATCAGTAACTTAATTTCAGTTCCTGGGCATGACGCAGTAGTCTAGTGACCAAAGTCCTCACCTTGCATGCACTGGGATCCCATATGGGCACTGGTTCGTATCCTGGCTGCACTACTTCCCATCCAGTTCCCTGCTTGTAGCCTGGGAAATCAGTCGAGGATGGCCCAAAGCCTTGGGACCCTGCACCTGTGTGGGAGACCCAGAAGAAGGTACTGGCTTTGGATAGGCTCAGCCTGGCCATTGAGGCCACTTGGGGAGTAAACCAGTAGATGAAAGATGTTTCTGTCTCTTTTTCTCTTTGTAAATCTGCCTATCCCATAAAAATAAATGAATGTTTAATTTCAGTTCCTAAATACAAGCACTTGGAGGGAAGCTCCAACAGCCTGCTACAGGCTGTGGACGTGAGTTGAGAGCCCTCCCCCTCCACAGTTTCTCAGGGCATCAGAACAGGCAAAATTTCCCTTTATCTTTTTTTGGTTGTGTTTGTTGCTACACAGGGATCATTTAGTGTGGGTGTTAGCAGGCACCAGAATTTGTTTTTGGCATTTTCAGCCAAGAAATTCTTTGCTGCTCTTCTGTGTATTTGTTTTTAGTGAGGGTGACCCATGTGCCTGATACATCAAGTGGTGTGAAAGTCACCTACCTCACAGACAATATGCTGACTGTGCCTGCTTTTGAATTCCAGTCACAAATTCTCCTTTTCTTCCCTTGTGACTGAGGCTCGGAAGAGGGAAAAACCAGGTCCTTGCAAGTGTGATTTCTTCTAGAATAGGAAAGCTTATGATGGAGTGAGTAAGTTTCAGAAATAGTGATGTGAAGGTAATGTTGACAAGATCAGGAAATGCTTCTGAGGTTCCAGTTTCTCCCAAAGATGAGCTCAAAGAAATGACCATAAGCAGTGAATAATCCAATGGCAACCTTGACAAATTTTGTCTTTTTTTTAAAAAAAAAAATTTCTTTATTTGGAAGGGAGAGAGACTAAGGAGAAAGATAGCTCATCTACTGTTTACTGCCCAAATGGGCACAATGGCTGGGGGCTGTGCCAGGCCAAAGCCAGGTGCTTCTTCCATGTCTCCCACTTGGATGCAGGGGCCCAGGCATTTGGACCATCTTCCTCTCCTCTCCCAGGGAGCTGGATCAGAGGTGGGAGTAGCCAGGTCTTCAATGTGGGCCCATTTGAGATGCCAGCACTGTGGGTACTAGCTTAACTCACTATGCCTCGATACAGCCACTTGGACACTGGTTTCTCAGTACCTGCTCTTAGATCCTGTTTTGAGCAAGACACTTTACTGGCTTCAGCTGAAACTATCTTGGCTCAACAGTTCCCCTTTATCTAGAGTTTATTTGACTGTTGGGGTTGACAGCCCAGAAAAAGAGATACTGTACAGTTTTCTCCCAACAGAGTGGTGATTTGTGGGAAACTCAGTTTTGAGGGGCTTCCCTGATGAGACTTTTAGCTCCGTTGAGTTTCTGGGTCATATTCTGCTTTTCTGGACCAATGAGTGACTATCCAGGCTCAGGTTTGCAGTTACAGAGGTTTTATGTCAATGCAGCTGCATTTGGGATGCAGAAGGTCAAATTTTCTTGGATAAAAAAGTCCAACTTCACAGATCAGATTCCTATCAATGGATGCCTTGTCTAACACCTGTGTCATGAGTCCACCATGTATGTACCCAAGAGGAAACCAAATGAACCAGCTCCTTCCTCTCAGGAACCTCAAAGGAGAAGATGGGCAGCCCAATACCAGCAAAGGCTGTGTGGGGAAGGACCCAGGTGATGCGGCTAAGTCACTTTGAAATCGGGGGGGGGAGGGGGTTAGAGAAGGCTACTGTGTGGAGGTGAGCTCCACCTCATACTTGGAGGTGACAGGAGGAAGGGCCTTTGTGGAATTGCTGCAACTGCAGACCCCGGTGAAGGACCAACCTGGGGTGTTGGAGAGGAGGGAAGAGAGTAAGTCCCTGAGACTGGACCCAGTAATGAGCAGCAAGTGAGGAGGCAGCTGGGGCCCTGAGGTGTTGGTGGGGTGCTTTGTCAGGGTAATGAGGAGCCCTGGGCTAGATGTTAAGCCTGAGAGTGACGTGATCTGGTTATTTAATTGATGTGGAGAGCTCAGGTGGTCAGTTATAAGAGAAATCTGACACTGTCAAGCATATGTGAGGCTCTGTTATATCCTGAAAAGCAGAATTCTTTCCTTTTCATCTCACAGGCTGTAACTGGTTTAGATTAGTGGACCAAATACCTTTAAATCAAAATAAACTCAACAGTGAAAGTTTCTTTGTTTATACTTATTCCTCCTGCCCCCTCTTCATGAAAAATGATTATAATGAGCAGTTGGGTGTGTATACATTTTCAGAATATGCTCTGTACAAAATGGGCTACATGCTTATGTGCATCAAACACAAAAACATACTACTAAGTGTAAATGGAAATGCAATCTTTCTGTTTTAAATCCTGTTTCTTTGTCCTAACACAAAGCAAGGGACATTTAGAAACCTCTTGCCCATTCTTGCTAATGGCTTCATGGAGTCCTGCTCTCGACTATTTAACAATATCTTAGGAAATCTGAACAGTTCCCAGTTGTGCTATTTTAAGCTGAGAGGCCATTTCTGCCTTCTGCATGCAACGTCTTTGTTCTTTAAGGCCCTGTGCTTTTGAAGTGAGGTATTTTTTATTCACTAAGAGACAACTAAACTGTGGGTTTCAAAACCCTTACTAGGTGATAGCCCCAAATGCATTCTACATGAGAATGAAAGGGCTTTTTGGGAAGACTCAACCCTATATAGGAGATTGTCAGTCTCCAAGTGTTGAAGGTTGTCACTGATCTGTAGTCTTGATTGTTCATGCACTAGCTACTATGATGGAAAACACTGCCAGCCCCAACTGCCTGAAACAATGAGGAACATATGTAGGGAACAGTAAACACACCTATTTTATATGCACATGAAGCTGTGAGTATTCCCCAGGCATCCCTCACTGTGTGGGCACAGCTGCAAATCTGTATTAGGTTGCTTTGCTTAATATCATGAGTAACTAAAGCCAGGAAAGAGCTCACCAACAAAAGACGACACAAAGCTGGGACTGCCCTTTGGTTAATTAACTGGGGAATCTGCATCTCTAGAAGTGGCATTGTTTGAGGTGGTGGCAAGCATGTTCAAGATTGAATACACATTTCTTTATGACCAAATCTGCATTTTGCAAATATCACACTTTCTATGAAAAGCAGACGTGCTGTAAGGAGGGGGCATTTAGCTGCTGAAAGGTTTTGATGGGGGAGAAGCCCTGAAGAGTAGTTTCTCTGAATGTCTTTTTATACTAGACCCCAAAAAGTCCAGGAAGACTGTAGCCCAAATGTTTGAAAGGACTCTCACAGTATGTGAGGCTTGTTCTGTGTTGTTTGACTCTGAGACCTGCTGTGCAGACTCTGGAAAACAATTTCTTTGTTCGTGGTGCATCCAGCCCTAATAGCCAAGGCAAGATGCAGGCCTTGGTAGATATCTCTTCCTTGTTGGCTGACTTTCAGACATATGGGCTGCACTCTGCATTTTTGGCTTGTCAAAGATCTAAGATCACGGTCTTGTGCAAAATGTACACACTTGAACTTAGCTTCAAAACCAGCTGAGTTTGTCCTATCTCTGTTGCCACTTCCCCATTCACCAGGTACAGAGAAAGGTTTAGAAAACTAGGTTGAGTGTATTTATTTTGGTGGTCTTTTGAAAGGGAGAATTTTTGTTGCAAAGTAAAGTGAATGTGAACTCTCCTTTCACTGTTGTGGTGTAAGTTGATGAAAAAGCTGTTGAAGCTAAAGTCAGCATGAACCAAAGAATGGCTGAAATATGGAAAGGGAGAATAAATCAGATTTTCCTAGGCTTTGTGTTGGAGTGAACCATTGCAAAGGAAGATGTAAGGATGTATGTTACATGTTTGTACACGCTTATGTGTGTGTGTGTTGAAGTATATTATAGTGGAAAATTATTTGCACATTAGCTACTATCCAGAAATAATCATTTTGATTTATTATTCCTCCAACCCCAGAGAAAAGCCTGGGTTATTAGATTTAGTTGCAAAGAAGGTATATGTTATTAAATTAAAGAAAAAATCTTATATTAATCTTTCCTTTTTTTTTCCTTTTAGAGGATGAACTGATGTGGATAGCTTTATTGAGGGAGGCTTTTGTTTGATTTTCTCTGGGGCTCATTTTAAATTGGAGTCAATCAGGGAGCATTTTTCTCTCATAACTCCTTCTAGAAAGCAGAATCAGAGAGATTCCACCAGAAAGGATGGCTTCTTCTTCTTCTTTTAATGTTTGTTAAGGTTTATTTATTTGAAAGGCAGAGTAACAGAGAATAATAGCATCAAGACAAAGATCTTGCATGTGCTGCTTCACTCCCCAAATGATCATAAGGCCAGGGGTTTAGAATTCCACCTGAGCATTCAAAATGAGTGACAGGGCCCCAAGTACTTGGGCTATCTTACACTGCTCTCCTTGGATACATTAACAGAAAGCCAGATTAGAAGTAGAGCAGGCAGGATTCAACTAGTACCCTGATCTGGGATGCCAATATCAAAGGCAATTGCTTCACCTGCTATGCCATAGTGCTTGTCCCAGGTTGAGTTGTTTGTAAAGCTTCTAGAAAAGTGGACTTGTGGAAGGAGCAAACGCCACCCCTTCCCCAGCTTTCATGAGCCTCTTGCTTTTGGTTTGAGATCTGGATGAGGACATGAAGTTTCCTAACTAACCTGTGCCAGTAGTAGAGAAATTTCAAAAATTCATGAAAAACCAAATTTGGAAAAGATAAATTTTAGTGCAAAAAAGTTTGAAGACCAATGATTTTTTTTTACTGCTTTTTATTATTATCATTTTATGACACAGTTCCATAGGTCTTGGGATATCCCTTATCTCCAAATCCTTCCCCACTCATTGAGTTCCCTATATCATTACTATAGTATAGTTCTTCATACACAGTCATATGTCCATCATTGCGGGCATGGGCAATGGCAAAATATCCAGCATCCTATTGTCAAAATATAGTAAGCAGTTCCATTAGGAGCCCATCTTTGTCTGGAACTAGAGATGTGCATTACATTGTATCCTCACATCTGGCTATGATAGTCTCCATTACACAGTTACTATACATCCCCATAGATACAGTCACAATACAAAATCAAGAACAGGAAGAAAAATAGAAATTTACAATGCCATAGAGTAAAATTACATGCTGCTAGATGTGACAGTTTCCATTACACAGTTACTATGCATCTCCTTAAATGAAAAGCCACAAAACAAAATCAAGAGGAAGAAAAAAATTAACAGCATGAAGTTAGATAACATGCTACTGAGTGACTAATATGTCGCTGAAGAAATTAAAATCAAAAACCTTCTTGAAGAAAATGCTACTGTATGATCTATGAGTCATTGAAGAATTTAATGAGAAGAAAGTATTTTGAAGAGATTAAACTAACAAAAAAAATATCAAAATCCATGATGCAGTTTCCACTGATCTTATTGGTGAAATGTGTCTCCTGCAGCGAACAAATAGATGGCTTTTGTATTTCAATCCAGTCCACTAATCTGACATTTGATTGATGAGTTTAAGCCATTTATATTCAGGGTTAATATGAATAGGTGGTAATTTGGTTCTGTCATTTTAGGAATGGGTTGTTTAGTCTTCTGTTATTTTAGTGGGATGTTGTTCGCATTTGCCTTTGGTTTTGTTTGGTGCTATACCCTTTGTCAAGAGAACATCTTTAAGTATCTTTTGTAGGGCAGGTTTGGAAGAGGTATATTCTTTAACTTTTCTTGACTGTGGAAGAATTTTGTTTCATTTTCAAAGACGAAGAAAAGCTAGGCTGGGTATGTTATCCTGGGCCAACAATTTTCTGCTTTTAGAATCTGGAATATATCCCTCCATTCTCTTCTTGCCTGTAGAGTCTCCCGGGAGAGATCTCCTGTGAATTTAATTGACATTCCTTTATATGTCAATTGATTTTTTCACATGCACATTTAAGGATCTTTTCCTTATGTTCGATTGAAGAGAGCTTGATGATCATGTGTTTTGGTGAAGATCGCTTTTGATCAGGCCTGTTGGGAGTTTTGTGCCCCTCCTGAATGTTGTTTCCCAATTCTTTCTCTAGATTAGGGAAATTTTCCTTTATTACTTCATTAAATACATTTGTAAAACCAGCTTCTCTTTCTGTACTTTCTGGGACTCCCATAACTCTTATATTTGGCCTCTTAATAATGTCTTTCAATTCTTGAATACTTTTTTTGGCCTGATCTAGCTCTGCTTCTAGCTTTTTGTTTGTTTACCCCTGGTGACAAGAAATATCTTGCAATTCTGAGATTCTTTCTTTTGCCTCCTTCATTCTATTTTGGAGACTCTCCACTGTACTTTTCATTTGCTTCATTGTATTCATTTCTGATATATCAGCTTTCATTTGATTCATTTCCCATGTAACATATTAAATTCCTTGAATGCCTGCTTTACGTACTTCTGGTGGTTGATAAGAAGCTTTATCATAAGTGTTTTGAATTCTGTATTCCCATGTTCTCAATGTCTTCCGCAGTTAACTCTGAAGTTGGCACAGTGTTTTGCTCCTTTGCAGGAGAGTCTTCAGTAATATTCATTGTGCCTTTGTCTCTTCTTTTGCTCTTGGTCTGGTTAGCAGAGTCTTCTCCTTGGAGCAGGTTTCTAAGCTGTGTCACCCACAGGTCTGCAATTTGATTTTCCTTATTGTAGTCAGTACATGGTTCTTTGTTTGTAGCTACTTGTGCCACTTACTGCATCGATTTCCAGTCTGGGTTCTTATGTTAGATTTCCACCATGGTCTCCATAGCCCCATGGTGAGCTCCTGGCTCACCAGTCTCCGCCTCATGTGATACTGTGCTGAGGCTGCACCATTGTCTGTACAACCTTTCTCCCACTTCCAGTTAGAGCAAGTCCCAGAATTAAGGAGATACCCTATATAGGTGTATATATAGGGTGCCCTATATAGCTAGGTTTTTGGTGATGTTGATCTTGTCAGAAGCATTTGTCTGTTAGTTCTGAGGGCCACATGGACCTCTTTTGACCTGTACAATACCATAGTCTGTATTATTTTCCTGTTGGACCAGTGCAATGCACCTAGCTCAGCAGGTTCTTGCTGAGCTCAGTGCATGCACATCTCATTGTTTTCCCTGCAGTGTTAAATTCTTTGCCTCACTGTAAGAAATGGCACCTGATGTGCCATTACTAGAGTTCTTGATCTGTTGGCTGTCAGGTCTGAGGGCCGCCCGGACCTATCTTGGGTGGAACCTGTGGGATGCCATGTTGTTGCAGTTAACTGAGCCAGAAAGTACTGTCCATAACCCTTACCTCCTGAAACAAAATGGTGCCTGATTCACCTCTAGGAGGTGGACTGGGCTATGAAATGCATCCTGTTTCCACACCGCCCATCTGGAATCTGCTGCTCTGTGTCTGCTCCTGGTCAAATCAAACAGACCAGCAGGACAGGCAGTTCTTTGTCTGGATTCACCTCCTGAACTCCTGGTATACGTCCCTTTCCACCTTATTGCTGGTGTAGTTCCACTGCTGCTACTGGTGCAATTCGGATAGCCACTAGTTGGATGCTGCTGAGGTATCAGTCACTGAAATACCACATCATTGTGTCCACTGCTTTCTTGAGTCTGTCAGTCTATATGTACCCCTCTGCTGTCTTTCTGTCCTCTCCTGTTTCCTGGAATGTGCCCTCTTTGCTTCATACTGGTTGATACTTCTCCACCTGTTTAAATGTGTCCTTGTCCTATTCCACCACCTTGATTATCCTGAAATCCAGTGATATTTATCTTGAGGCACATGTCATTTGCTTTCTGAAGACTTTGGACTTTGGATTTTGGATTTTGGACTTGGATTAAAACATCTTTTTTAAAAAAATTATTATTTGAAAGGCAGAGTTAGAGAGGAGACAGAATGATCTTCCCATTTGCTTGTTTACTTCCCAAATGGCCTCAGTAACTAAGGTTGGGCCAGACTGAAGCCAGGAGCCACCAGCTTTTTCTGAGTCTCCCATGTGAGTGACAGGGACCCAAGGACATGGGCCATTTCTGCTGCTTTCCTAGACACAATAACAGGCAGCTGGATTGGAAGTAGAGCAGCTAGGGCTTGAACCAGCACCCGTAAAGGATGTTGGTACTGTATGAGGTAGTTTTACTGCTATGCCACAGCCTCTCACCCTCCATGAAATTTTTGAAAGTCCGTGCATTTAAGTATGTTTTGAAGTCCTGCCCTGGCTACTAGTTGGGCAGGGGCCTTACTAAGTACCTGATGCCATCTCATCTCCTTCCTGTGTGGGGACCTCCCTGAATGATGTCCCTTAAACCCCTGTGAGTTTTCTGATTCTGGTTTTTATTAACTATAGAGTAAGCAATAGTCTAAGATTCTGAAGAAATGTGTATTTACTATTTAAAAATTTTAGGATCTTGAAATACAATTAACTCTCATGCCACTGCTCAAAGTAGAAGGTGAATTTTGGATAATTTTTTAGTGGGTGTGCACAGTTTTGTGTAACATTTTTATAAAACAGTCAGCTCTCTGTCTTCTGTTGACGCTGCTTTCAGAGTGAGTATTATTTCATGATTCAGAGATCTTGATGTGCTTCATTTAGTGTCCATGAAGGTTCTTTCCTATGGCTGCACCATTAGTGATGGTTCTTTCATAAACTCATTCAGTATGTCTTTTCTTCCTTAAATATATTTTTATTGTTTAAAAGATATATTCATATATATTTAAAAATATATATATTTGAAAATGTATTAATATATGTTTGGAATATTTATTGTATTCATATATATTTGAAATGTATTCATATATATTTGAGAGAGAGAGATTGATTGATCCCCCATTGACTCTAAATGGTCCCTAAATGGTCTCTACAGACAGATCTGGGCCAGGCTGAAGCCAGGGTCCTGTAACCTTACCCTGGTCTCCCATATGGGTGGCAGAGGCCTAAGTATTTGGGCCATCTTGTACAACCTCTCTAGGCACATCAGGAAGGAACTGCATGAGGTGTGGCGTAGACAGGACTCCAACATACTCTACAGTCTGACATGCTGGTGTCACAAGTGTCAGTTTAACCTACTGCATCACACATAGCGATTTCCCTCAAAATATTTTTGCACCAAAATTATTTTTCAAAAAAAAATTATTTAAATATTAGAGTGATACATAGGGGCAGGGTGAGATTTTCCATCTGCTGGTTGACTGCCCAAATGACTGCGGCAATGTGGATTGGACAAGGTTGAAGCCAGGAACCAAACCAGAGTCACCTTTTCCAAGTATTAAAAAAAAATAGTAAGCACAGAGCCTGGTTATCTTCTTGCAACTGTCTGATGACTTCCTCAGGAAGAATGAACCTTGAAACGGAATTTCTTGTCCAACATGTCATATGCATTATTTAGTTGTCCTCCGAGAAGATTTATGACAACTTACATTCCAAGCAGCACTGGACATTTCCATTTGTAAAAACTGACAATTCAAACAGCTTCTGAAGATTTGATCCTAGAGACATGACTGGAAATTGATCAAGATTTTCCAGAATGCTTTTCCAATCAGGGTGGAGTTCATCTAACCATGCCCTCAATGCCATCTTACACATGGGGCTTTTCTGAGAAACTTGCCTGTGTATTGTTCACAGTGCATCAGGCTGTGCCCTGGCTCACAGGGCTGGCAAAATTGAGTTATGCAGGTCTGATTCATACCTGGTGAGCCTGGCTTGTCTGGGCATCTTCACTATTTTGTGTTTATAGTAAATCTAAATAGCCAACTCAAGCTTGAACATCAAACATTTGCTGGACTTTTTAGGTCCTGTTCTTAGAACTTAAGAATCATATTTTGTTTCTGGAATCCTTTTTCAAAGTTTGGTAGGTTTTCTGCAATAACTTGGGATGCTCCTTTGGTGTCTGGGATCTAGGTGCTGATGGGGTGAGTAGGTGCCTCTATTTGCATCTTCTGCTTGTATGTCTTGATGGATTTCATTTTTTGTGTCTTGTCCAGTTGGAAGGCCAGAAGAAAAAGGTTTAGTGGAAGTCATGCTCTTCAGTCTTTTTGTCTCCTGTTAACATTGAACAGGTTTCTAGGATTGCAGCCAAACTGAGACTTTGGCTGTGAATAGCACTTGAAAAGACATTTTTCTGTACATATAACACAAATGTGTCTTTAAGGCTCAGCCCATTTTGGATCTAGGTTTGAGGTGCATATTTGTGCTTGTATGTCTTTAGGATGCCTCTGAAATCTCCCCTTGTCAGAGTTTCCTGTGCTGCCACAGTGACTGACTTCTAAACATCCTTCCTCTCAGTCTTGCCATTTCCTAGTCAGTGTTCATGAAATGTCACCAGGATCAGGAGTGACTTGCATAGGATACTGGGAGAACAGGCACTGAAGAGCTCTGTGGTGAGGTGTTGGGACCACATGACAATGATAACAACTTTGTGCCCTGACGGTTCTCTGCTGGGACTGAGCCTCTTCTTAGCTTCTCAGCCCTAGGTCTATTATTGCAGAATTTTGGACACTGGTGTTTTATTTCTGGCAAATGTCTTTTGTAAATGTTAAGGGTTAGCTGTACTTTCTTTTGGAGCATTTTCTGCAGTTCCTCAGAGTGTTCTTATTAATAATTTTGAGGTTTCTTTATAAAATCCTCTCCCTCCTCTATTGCTTTCTCTTTAAGATGTATGTATTTATTTGAAACAACTGCAGAGACTGAGTGAGCGAGTGAGCGAGCATGAATGTGGGTTTCCATCTGCTGATTGATTCCCAAAATCACAACAGCCAGAACTGGGCAGATGTGAAACCAGGAGCTTCTTCCAGGTCTTCCACATGGGTGCAGGGGCCCAACTACTTGAGCCTACCTCCACTTCTTTCCCAGATACATTATCAGAAATCCAGATGAGAAATGGTGCAGCCAGGACTCAAATCAGTGCCAGTATGGAATGTCTGCACTGTAGGTATTGTCTTTACTCACTGTGCCACGGTGGCAAACCCCTCCTCTTTTTGGTTCTTTCCTCACACTCTCCTTTTTAAAAAAATTACTTCTCTTTTTTCTTTTTAAAGAGTTATTTATTTTTATCGAAAACTGAATTTACAGAGAGAAGGGAAGAAAGATCTTCCATCCACTGGTTCACTCCCTAAGTGGCCACAATGGCTAGAGAGGAGCCTACCTGAGCTGGGAGCCAGGAACTTGTTCCAGGTCTCCCATGCAGGGTCTCAAGGCTTTGGATCATCCTCTCCTGCTTTCCCAGGCCACAAGCAGGGAGCTGGATGGGAAGTAGAGCAGCAGGGATATGATCTGGCACCCATATGGGTTCCTGGTGCATATAAAGTGACGATTTAGCCACTAGTTATCACGTTGGCCCATGTCTTCCCTTTCTGTTTGCCTGCGTTTATATGTATATGTAATATGAATGTACATATGCATATATGTGGACATTTGAATATATAAACACACAGACATACATATGTGTATATATACACATGGGTGTCTTTCTAGAGAAGCCAGGAATTTGGAGTGCAGGGCTAGAAGGGAGATAATGAGGCTGTCATTACCCAGAGATGAGATTTGATCCTGTTAAAACTGACAGTCTTGTGTGAAAAATGATCTGTTAGGCCAGGACAGGAGATGAGGGATATGGCATTTCTCATTACTGGAATGAATTGAAGGCTCTCTCCATGATTCGCCCAACTTTTGCTTTGAAATGAGGCATTGTATTGGTAAAGACTTAATGCAGCAGTCATGGCTTAGGCTGTGGATGATGGGAAACCTCATGTGTCTTGAGGAGCACAACTGAACTAGGCTGCCTTTCAGAGGTCTTTTATTTAAGTCTTTATTAAGTTTTCCCAGTCAACATGTTATAGTAGAATGAGTTTTTACCACATTCTTCTTGAAACATAATGGTTTAGTTAGGACAAAAGCAGACCTGGACTTTGAGAGACGATGATGGCTCATGAGTGGCTTTCGAAAGGACCGAGTGGCACATTGCATTGTGGAGCTGTCCTCCCTACCCACTGTCAACCAGTGTTTGCTTTGATTTTACAAGTAGTTCCTCCAGAGGGGAAGACTGCATTCATTACCTAAAGGCTTTCATCAGCCAGGAGATATGTGTGGCATAATCATCCAGCCAGAGACTTTTATTCTGCCAATCTTGAGTGTTTTTTAAAATATTTGTTTATTTTTATTGGAAAGGCAGATATTTGGAGAGGAAGCAAGACAAAGAGGAATATCTTCTGTCTGTTGATTCCTCAAGCATCAGGAGCTGTGCCCATCTGAGCCAGGAGCCTGGAACCTCTTCCAGGTCTCCCACATGGGCGCAGGGGCCCAAGGTTTTGGGCCATCTTTGATTGCTTTCCCAGGCCACAAAAACAGGGAGCTGAATGGAAAGCAGAGC